GGGGCGCCCCGCCCCCCCCCCCCCCCCCCCCCCCCCCCGGAATTTCCCAGTTTGGGAACCTAAGTTCTAAGAGATCAATTGAGTTACTGGTCTAATCTTAGTTCCAGTGTGCCCAGGGCTACTCTCTGTAGGTGTCAAAAACTGTAACATCCAAGGCATAAAGCAAAGATATGATAACCAGCCCCTTCCAAGATTGCTTTTATGCTATTTCCCCTTGTGCCTTTAGCTTTAAGAGCTAAGAATGATTTCTGATCATGCTTATTGAGAAATGCGGCTGAAAGATGTTCAATGGAAGTACGTGCTTAAAGTTAAGCATGTGCTTACGTTTTTTAGGGGAGGGAGTAATCAGTGTCTTTCGTGGCTGAGTCTTAAGAAGGTCAGGATGCAAGTCAGGGGCGGTCAAAGGGAGCCAGTCCAACAGATCCAGCATGAACAGACTGTGACAGACCCAGGGCAGCTGGCTACAATAGTCTGGTGGCAGGCAGACATACCAGCAGGCGGGTGAACAGTTTTCTGTTTCCTGAATAAACTGCCCAAGACTGCTGCCACGTAATCAAGGCAGGCAGGCACCTGAGGCTAGTTAAGAACTTGCCTGAGGCAGCAGGCTGATCAGGCACCTGCAGCCCATGAAGGTCTGTGGGGCTGCTTTAAAAGGTTTCCCGGAGGCAAAGGGAAGGACAAGAGTGAAGGACTGGGAGGGGGGAAGTGCGTTGCTGGAGAGCTGAGAAAGGCAAGAGCGTTTGTGCTGAAGCAGGACAGAGTCACTCAGGTAGTAGGGGAGCGTTTGGGGACGTGGCCCTGGGAAAAGCTGCTGTATTGGGGCTGGAGAAAAGCCCTGTCATTTGCTGCTACCTAGGGTCCCTGGGCTGGAACCTGGAGTAGTGGACAGGCCCAGGTTCGTCCCAAACTTCCCCATGCCACTATGGAAGGGAGACACCCTGTCTTACCCGTCGGGGGCCTGATCTGGCCGTTGGTTAATCCACACACAGGCGTGCCCTTAGGAGGAGGATCTGTGCTCACAAAAGCACTCCCCTCTGCCACTAGAGCTGAAGGGGAAGCTCCATTAGTGGTGGTAACATTGGAGGCCTGTTCTCACATCCATCTCAGCCCCTCGGAGAGCTCCCATTGACTTCCCATGGGGTTGAGCCAAACCTCCGCACAGGCAGGGTTCTCCGTCTCAGTCGGCCTCCAGCCGTTGGACATGAGCTGGTTGGAGTCCGTCCGTTGTAGCATGGTGGTACATCCCGGCCAAACCTTTCTGCACAGGGCTGAGGTTGGACATGCCCATCTGTTGGGATTCCATCTCTCTGAGGTTCCTGTGTGGCTACTCAGGCCTGATGGGCTCCATCCTGCCCAGGAAGCTGTTCCTTGTGTCATACAATCATATGGCAGGGGACTCGGGAGATGGGTTCTAATCCTGGCCTGGGCCTGCTGGGAAAGTCTCTTTGCCTCAGTTTTCCCATCTGTAAAGTGGGGCTAATGCGGCTGCCCTGCGTGAATCTCTCTGCAGTGTCGTGCGGAGTAGCTCTAGATCAGAGCGTGGTGGTGGTGGTATAATCCTGCCGCCATCACGTGGCTCTTGCTAGCCATCCAAAGGCTCCTGCCCCTGGCTCGCTTTCCAGGATGGGTTGATGGGAGCAGGGCTGGATGGTTCCCACGCTGATCTGTGCTGCCTCTCAGTCCTCGTGCAGGGTGAACAGGAATACGGTCAGTGGCTACTTCCTCGCTGGCAGGAGCATGGCATGGTGGCCTGTAAGTAGATGCTCCCTCTCTCTGCCTCTCGCTCTGGCTTCTCTTTGGTCCCTCTATGCAAGACAGTTCCCAGCATCTGGGTCCCACCCTGGGAGTCGGTGGCAGAGCCATTGCCCCTGTGAAAAGGCTGGTAGCTGGGTCTCCGGGATAGAGGTGACCCGTGTTGTCCCATCATCCCCTTCAGTGCCCCAGGAGATGGAGCTGCTAATATCGCTCTTCATCTCTTCTGCAGGGTAGGGCTGCCTTGGTACCGGCTTGCCACAGGGCATGCCCCTAGTGTATTACTTAGTGATGAATCACAGACACTTTGGATCGTGCCCCATAAAGCACAACACAGGAATACTTCCCACCCAGGAGGCAGCATCAGCCTACCCCTGCCTGATTGGAGCCAGGCACCATTTCTTCCATTTCCTCCTCCCTGCTGTCCCTCTGTGGTCGGATGGGTCCTGCCCACCAGGTTTCAAAACCCTGATCATTAGGATCTGTCCTTAACCTACCGCTGCATCTGACCGTCTTAGGAGATTCCCCGTAGGCCCGTCTAAGCTTGGGTAAGGGGCATTCGGAGCAGGGTTGGAGAGCTGTCCCCAGTGTTCCCAAGCATGACCGGTCATGACTGTGGTGTAGTGACCCTGCACAGTCATCGGTGGCCCCCGATTTTGTTACACCCAAAATATTCCTCCCGCATTTTGGAGCTGGCTGACCCCTCCCCTCACACCTCCCCCCCCACCCATGCCCCTTCCCTACTGCTCAGGTCTGGGCAGCATTGCCCGGGAACAGTGTTTCTGCATGGCAGCAAATGCAGCGACATGTGATTTTCTGACAAGTGTTTGAATGAGGAAAGGAAGCGCTGGGCTCCCACATGCCTCCCAAGCATGGGCAGCAGCTGATGTTCCAGCTGGGGAAGGCAAGGCCCAGCCCCGCCCCTTCTGCTCGAGGCTCCGCCCCTTCAGCAACTTTTCCACCCACATGGAGCCAAGCCCTGCCCAATCCTTACCCAAGCCTTCCTGGCCACCTGGAGGGTTGGGGCTACTGTGCTGTAGCCCTAGTCGTCCCCCGTGGCCGAGAAGCCGGGCTGCCACACCACGGCCCCAGCCTTTCCTGTCAGCTGTGCAGCAGAGGCTGTTTTGGGAAGTCAATGCCTTCCATGACCTGCATTACCTATCAGCCATGCTCCCAAGGATAGCGGCCTTGTGCGTGAGCTCAGGATTAGCTGAGAGTGCAAGTCCCAGGGTGCTATTGCAGCCCATAGACCAATGTTCCCTCTTATTTTTCCCACCCATGTGCAGATTATTCCATCCATGTGCGGAATAATTTTATGTGCACCGAGGCATGTGCACCAGCAGTAGAAACAAACACCAAGCTGTGGCTGCTCGGCTAATCAGCTGGGTGGGATTTGAATCTCTCCGCACGAGCGCCCAGCTTACAGGGAACGCTGCCATGGCATCTTTAAATCTGGAAGCTACCCCAGGCCTGCTGACTACAGGAATTCATACGCGCCTTCCCGGCTCTTAGGCAGAGGAGCAGGTGCTCGGAGCTGGCTGGGCTCTGAGGACAGTGAAGTTCTCGACACGTGGGGAGATGAGAGCCCGCGGGGCAAGGAGATGGTTTGAGTGGCTCTGTGTTGTGTTAAGTCCTCACTTCTAATGTAACAGAGGAAAGCCCTCAGCAGGGGAGCTGGAACGGTGCCCTTGTCTGGACTGCGGCTCTGCCTTCTCTGGCGGCTGCATCAGCCCTTCCAGCTTCCACGCGGCTGCCACGCTGGCTCCTTGCAGTTTGCAAGCGCTGACGCCGGCTCTGTGCCGTCCAGGGGAACCCTGTTCGAAGCCCGCTCAGTGGACACGGTTCCACTGGCAGCAAAGACTCAGCCACCGTCTGCCGCTTCCAAAAGCAGGTGCTTGCTCTTGCCTGATTTTCGGGGGTTGCCATTGGTGTTTCTACAATCTGGGCGCCTGCACACCAGTTGATCTAATCAGAAGATACCGTATTTTCCGGCGTATACGGCGACTGGGCGTATAAGACGACCCCCTAATTTTCTAGTTAAAACATAGGTTTTCGTCTTATACTCGCCGTATAAGACTACCCCCCCTTAAGAGGCCAACCGGCAGCGCCCCAGCGCCCTTCCACCTCCCCGGCTTTGCTCCCGGTGCCTCTGGTCGGCTGGGGACCATCTCCAGCAGACCAGGGACACCGGGAGCAAAGCCTCTGAGGGTGCCCGCAGAGG